AAAAATATTTCTAATGGTGATTGAACCATGAAACTTTTTATGTAGCGCAATTATAACCTAAATTAGCTGAAAATAACCCTAGAATCTAGAGGCTACTGTTCCTTTAATTTTAAAAGGCCAGTTCTCAGAATATTTCCCTGGTACCATGAAGTAGGTTTACTATATATCATTGTAATTTCTCATCATAATTTTGTCGGGAGGGAGTTTTTGTATACATTTATATTTATATATATAGTGCCCTCTATAATACAATTTATTCACTGAGTTGGTCAGATATTCTAAAAGTAGAAGTCAACACTATATAATAATACAGTACATGGGTAATTTTCTCAATAAGGGCACCTTTTTTATTTTTTTTATTATGTCCAGGCCTGACTTTTTTTTATTAATGAATTCCAGTAAGCATTATATCCATTACAATGTAGATTGGGGTATTTCCACTTGGAAATAAACTTTCAGCACTTTATTGCACACGGTTTTTGAGTTTTAGGCAGAAAAATATGTTTTTTGGCTACATTTTAGAATGTCCGAGATCTATGTCAGCATATTAAATGTCCCAGTTTCTTCAAGTTTTCTACATTCAAACACTCCTATAACCATATGTTTATTTAAAGTTGGTAAGAGTAAAATATCCAGAGAAAAAGAGCTATTAAGTACACTAGTTTCTAAAAAAAATGAAAATACAGGTGTCCAGGCAAATCCACTCCACTTCGTAACAATCAATGAAATGTCGCCCCCTATTGAAGGGAAGTAGAACTAAGACATGTACCTCATGTAAAAAGTCAGTTTGTGTAACCCCCATATATATATATGTCATGTGCTCTCAGTGTTGACACTTCCTCACAGTTTCTGTGAATTTTTACATCCTATTTCATCATCAGGTGGGTATACTTTCTAAACTCCACTCCATAACATTCATTAATATCCATGGTAACCATGGAGCATGGAACAACTTTTCAAATATGTCTATCATGCTACTTGGGCAGGACCCTCCATAATATGACAGGATATTTCAAATTCTATCTTGCTGCTGAGTGGCTGAAGGTCATTTTGTGTAAAAATTTCAACTCCGTAACACTCCACTCCATAACAATGACTTTGTTATGGAGTTGAGCTCTACTGTTACGGAGTTGTGATATGTGCTTAAAATGACAAATATATGTCATGTATTATTGACTTTCTGTTATTCCATTACACTGCATGGTAGCATGCCAGACTCCTAGACTTGATTTAAGAAACACATACTATTAAAAGATAGTGCAAACTTCAGGGGTTTTTCCAGAAATGTCCACTCCGTAACAAAAATTTCAACTCCGTAACAACATTTCAACTCCGAAACATCATTTTGTCGAATTCTAAAAATAAATCTACCCAATAAATGAAAATGATTTCCTCCAAAAAACGAACCTGGATACTATAATAGTCAAGTGTCTGCCACTGTCTGGTGAGTTTTAAATTGTTTTTTTATGTATGGATCATCATGGAAAATCATTTCTTTGGAAATCGTTACGGAGTTGAAAGGGTCTAGAGACACCCGGAGATTAAATTCCCTCACCATTAAAAAAAAAATGGACGAATTAAGCAATGCTCAATTCCTGGTTGTACTCCTGAGTGCCTAGTCTACCTGTGGTAAAAATGTAGAGGTGTTGCTTGCATGTTTTTTCCTTGAAAGTCAATTCACCAACTTGTGCCCTTATTGAGAAAATTACCCATATAATTAATTAATAAGCGCAAGAATATATAAGAATAAGTCATATATATGATGAATCAGATGGATGTCGAAGCTTGTCTAATACATTATATACAAGGCCTTGTGTTGGCCTTTAGTTCAGGTTTACCAGACAGTTGGAAAAATGTTCAAAATTAGATAATATATTTTTAGTATGATTCCGTTTGTCATGTTAGATGGTCATTTTGTTATTAGTTGGATAGCTCAATTATACAGGAGAATACATATATACATAGCTCATAGTACTAGTAGTTCTAATAATGTATTAGCCATGTGTTATGAATTATTGTGTCTACTATAACTGCTGCGTAGCTTAACCACAGATAGATTTCTGTAGGGTTCTTTCTTGCATTTCTTCATTTGAGTAAGAGGGATTCGGTTCATACTATTTGCATGGTACTCCATTACATTTATCTTCAGCATAACCTAACCCCCCCCCCCCAACTCTAACCTGAATCCTGGACCATTACCCTAATCCCAACTTCATCATTGTACGCTGGTCGCTGAAGTACTATTACTAAAGTAGGCTTCGGCCTCGGGATACATACAGGATTCAAGGACATTAAAAAGTCGACCTAGTCTGGGAGTGAGTTTTTCATTCAGTGATTTGGATATGGGCTTCTGGGGGTTTACTCATAATTTTCTGGAGTTTAGACATCTTACAAGTGGTGTACCATAATCTCACTCTCTTCTCTGTTGATGGTTTGTTCATCTAAGCCCTCTGTGGATAGTGTACATTTAGAAAATCATTTTATGCTAAGAGAAACCATAGACTAGCAGGTCACCTGCTATGCATTCCATAGTAGCCACATTACTTTAGTTTGAAAAAAAATTAGCTGGAAGGAAGGTCCGTTTGTTTCTTATTCATTATAGACTTGGAGAATGGCTTCTCTCTTTGCAGCATGCATGTGATCACAAGGTGGTTAAAT